CCATGTCAGCCATCAAGCATTCTAACTGTTCCAAAGAGAGCTTAAACGTTACTTTGTCCAATTCTCTCATTTGTAGATGAGAATATTGAGCCTGAATAAAGAGGCCTATGTTGAAGATGTAGCAAGTGTGTTCTAAGGCAGCTGTTGTCATCAACTCCTCTTAGAAGAACATAGAGCCACAAGGCTTTAAGACAGAATAGGATTATTTGCAGACAAGAAAAGCAAATGAAGCTTGCACTTAGAAAACAGGAACTCTTATCTGTTAAGCACCTGGGCTAACCTAGTTTTTGTGAAGCAGGGTATGATGGAAAGTGTATTGAATTTGGAGACAAAAGATATGAAATTCTTTTCTCATCTCTGGCACTTACCAACTCTTTGACCTATAATGTGCCAGGCTGTGTTTAGTGATAGAGACACAAAGATCAAATTAAATAGTCTCTGCCCTCAGGAAGATGAAAATGTGTGCATATGCATAGATATATACAACTAAATACAACCTAGTTGCAAGGTAACTTTAGGGTGGAAGGTATGAGTAACTGGGGGAGCAGGGATAAGCATCCTGCAGAAGGTAGAACTTTAACTGAATCTTGAAGAAATCAAACACCCTGAGGGGTAGACAGAGGTAAAGAGGGAGAACCTTTAGATGAAGAAAGAAACATCCTAACATGGAATCCTCCTTATGTGTGTCTGTTGGAAGCCTAGCAGAAAAATTAATGACACCAGCCAGCTACATTATTGATAATAATTAGAATTGCATGGAGGTTTTCTTTATAGAACCCTCCAATTATGTTTAGGAAAAGAAGCATTAAATTCAGCAAAACTGAAAAAAATAACATTGAGATCAAGTGATTCAACATATACCTAATTATTTCATGTATCTTATTTTCTCCAGTTTGCCAAATATTCTTTCCCCTGTCAAAGAGATAAGAAAATACCCCCTACTCTCATGTTTAAATTTTGCCTGATCCAAGAGGAGAAAATTTTTCAGTAATCATTGATAGTTGAATACCTGCCAGTTTTGACACCTTCAGGCACTCTTTTTAGAGAGAACCATAGAACAGACTAAGGGGCTTTCTTGGTTCCCCCAGTCCATGTATTCTTATGCTTCTGTGGGAGGGGAGAAAATATATATAGTCTAACCTTCCTCCTAAATAAGGAGATAGGATTTTTTTAAAAAATATTTCCTGGCTCCATATAAAACCATTTAGGCATTCCTCCGAGGTTTACAGAAACCCAATCAAAACAGAAACCAGTACTATTTTGTATCATAAACATCCTTCTCATTAGTGATCACCTTACAAAATTTCCCTGATGTCTTGCACATCTAACAATTTCATAAGGGATATGGAGGGATAGGGACTACACCTGTGATTTCATAGGTATAGGGAACTCCCCTTGAAGAACTTCATCTACCAATATAAATAGCCATCTTCTCAGCAGTTTTTTTTGGGGGCAACTAGGTGGTGCAATAGATAGGCTTAGGCTTAAAATTAGGCTTAAAATCAGGAAGACTCATCTTTGTGAGTTCAAATCTAGCCTCAGACACTTATTAGCTGTGTGACCCTGGGCAAGTCACTTAACCCTGTTTGCCTCAGTTTCCTCATCTGTAAAATGAGCTGGAGAAGGAAATGGCAAACCTCTCCAGTATCTTTGCCCAGAAAACCCCAAATGGGGGTCATGAAGGGTTGGAAACAACTGAACAACTGCAAGTTTTAGTCTTATAGTGTCAGCCAGAGCATCAAAAGTTTAATTGACTTGCCCAGGGTCACACAAGCAATATGTGTCAGTCATGAGATGTGAAATCAAGTCATCTTGATGTAGATGCCAGTTGTGTTTCCATTGTAACATCTTGCATCTACCAGTGGTGTATCCACATTTAATCTGAAAGTGTAACAATAATGTGAGAAATAAATGTAGCAATCATGAACTATGTTTTCAATGTTTATTAAGTATATTCATTACAGACAGCCCACTCAGGTCCATGGGAATTGATCTACTTTGCATGATAGGATTATGTAATAGCAGCTATCTGTTATCTCAGACCAGTATTTAAAACAATTTTCAAGCCAATAGGTCATAGAATACAATCACAGTTTTTTGTATGTTACTCATCAAGTAATTCTTACTATCCTAATATTTGAAAATTGCGGTACAGTTCTTACAACACACTAATAAAGCAATTTAAAGAAAATGAAATTTCACAAGATCATATGACACGCTTTTTCTCTGTAATGAAGATGAAAGCTGAAACGCGGTTGAGATAGAATACAAATTCTTTAGCCTGGCATTTAAGACACATAGCTCCTACCTACTGTTCCATGGCATGCACCTTCACAAACGTTTTTGTTCTCTGCCACAAGAGCCTGCATCCGTGGCCATGGTCTGATGCCAGCAGAGTGTGAAGACAGAAAGAGTCACGGACCAGGTGGAAGATGTGAAGAACAAACTTCATTTATTGAACTGAGGGCTCAGGCTTATATAGTACTGGATCAAGCAATAGTGACATTATTTTCCATGAAAAGCACAAACCTAATTATGTGATTTCCTTACTTCCTTGTAACTTGTCTGTTACATTCTTTCCTGAGTCCTGTCCTGTACCCTGTCCATTTCCTCCCTTCCTGCATCCTGTTCTCAAGAGATGGAACAGGGGGGTGGTGAGCCGACATTCTGAGTTTCACAGCTGTCAGGCTTAGTACAAACTCAAGTAAGACCTGGGCTGGCCTAAGCCCTCCAACTCCCCAGAGCTGGCCCTCTACAATTGTCGTCAAGATTAACTTCTGGCCATTCTCCACATATTCTCCATAGTCTGTTTCTGATATGGTGCACTGGAATGATATGCTTCTGATATAGTGCCAGGCTTGCAGCCAGGAAGATTCATCTTCCTGAGTCTGAATCTGGCTTCAGACACTTACTAGCTGTGTGACCCTGGGCAAGTCACTTAACCCTGTTTGCCTCCGTTTCCTCATCTGTAAAATGAGCTGGAGAAGGAAATGGCAAACCACTTTAGTATCTTTGCCAAGAATAAAGAGTTGAACATTACAGAAAATGACAGAACACACACAATACACTCAAAAAAAAATCCAAACAAACAATCAACTAGAATGTTTTCCCTCCTTGTCTTGGCTTGTCAGAATCAGTGCAATCTCTCAGGGCTAAACTCAATTGTCTCCTCCACTTCCTGAATCCTTCCACTTATGATTGCTTTCCCCTGACTCAATTTTTCTTGTAATACACACACACACACACACACACACACACGTGTATGTGTGTATATATATATATATATATATATATACATATGTATATATATATATATATATATATATATATATATACACATATATATATGTGTGTGTGTGTGTGTATATATATATATACATACATATGTTATGTTATTCCAGTAGTATGTAAGCTCTTTCAGGGAATGGCTAGTTTCATTTTCATCTTTGTATTCTTAGCACAGCACCAGGCTCCTAATAGATGCTTAACAAATGTTTGTTAAATGTCAATTAATCTCATGGAAAATGTAGTCATGGGAAACTTCTCCCATAAAACAATTGCTCCTCAGACTGAGATGAGACATCATGGTAGATATAACTCACAAATATCTTTCCATTTCATACTGTTCTTGAGAGGTCCACATAAAACAGGAAGTAAAAAAATAAAATAAAATAAACTATGATAAAATAAGATGTTCAATCTTAGGCAAAATGTTGGCATAGCAGTATTTGCAAACTCAGACTGCTGGTCTCATGTGGTGGGCTAATTTGTTAGGGACTCTGAGAGTTGTATTTCTTTTAAACTTGGAAAGAGAAGAAGCTATCACTACATAGGAATCCAAGGGCCCAATTTTCAAATGGTTTAATAGAGAGGGAGTGAAAGAAGATAATTACAGAGGGAGAGAGTATCAGTAGTCATATCAGTGAATGGAAGAAACTTTCCATGAGAATAACTTGTCACTTTGCAGTCTCTAGGCTTTTCCTTTCTTTGGCTTTCAGCTTGAGTTATTAAAAGAACACAGCAGAAGGACCAAATTATGGCTTCTCAGGGAAATCGCTAGATGAGTTGTGAATTTTTTACTCATGTGTTTACTCATTTCCTTTTTCTGATTCACTGACACATGCAACAGGTAGCAAGGTTCATTACTAAGTGTTTCTTTGCTATTTTAAAATGTGCCTCCTGATTGCTTACATTTAAAAAACAATAATGCTTTACTTCATAAAGATAGGAATACCTGAGTTTATTTTTGTCATACAGAGTGATAAAATGTGTGTATTAGTGGGAGAAAGGGAAGGAGAGCCTGTGAATTGTTACACTAAATAACTAGCTGGGAGACCACCTTCTTGGTATAAAAATCAACAGCTTGCTGGGGGTGTGGAATATTTTATGAATTTTATATAAAATCTAGGTTTTTTTCTCTAGGTGTTTTTGGCTTTGCAAAAAAAAAAAAAAAAAAAGGAAGCCATGTGGAACTGGGTCCTTTCCCCTAAAGTAAAACCCTCAGGATCTAATCTAATTATGTCCGAGCCAAATAGTTCTTTTACCTTAGGGACATTTGGAATCTTTCTCCATCCCCACAGGTGAGTGAGTCATAGGAGGAACAGATACCTCAAGAGCAGTCAAATCCTGAACCTGCCATATTGGCTGGAAACAGGTGAGGTCAATTCTGCTGACTTTCCAAGAAAGGGTCTAAGCTGGGGTTGGGGAGAGAGGGAAGAAAAGTCCTCCTCTTCCAAACCTCCCTTGTAGTGACATCTGCTGGACAACAGTAGCATTGTAGTAACATTATTTCAGGATCCTGCGCTCGCATGTGTTTCCTATTTGTCTTTCTTCCTTTTGTTTCTCTTGCTATCTTTGTCTTTCTCCACCTGCATTTTCAACCACTCATCCCCACAGCAGACTCTCTTCTCCCAAATGCACTTTAGATGGATAATTTTTACATCTTTTAAACGACACAGTAGGTTGTTAAATTTTAACTTTACTACTTCTCTGTGTCTTAGGTTTCCCTTGCTTCCTGAATGGAATATATATCAACAGGACAGCACCACCAAAAAAGTCTATGAAATACATTTCTTTATGTGATGACAGAAGAAAGTATTACAGGTATTTCTGAAATAAATTTATCATTTGAGAAACATTTTCCTCACAATACTGCTTTTTTCTTTGCTTAAGTTCTACAATAGAACTAAATACTTTATGGGACATGAAAAGAGCAAAACTGACAGTGAGACAAAGCAGTCACTTTTTTGTACCATCCTTTAAAAACATGCAGAGCTCACCAACAAACTAAGAGCAAAGAAGTGTATCAGCCTATGAAATATACTGTCTAAAAAGATCATGAATAAAAAAGATAGTTCTGTTGGTATACTCCATGCTAAAAATGACTCTACTCCCAAGGGGAGAAAACAATTTCTTGGAGCTCACCCCAGAGAGCATTTTGATGGTTTAAGTGTAAGGAGATCAGAGACACACAGATTACATTTCCTTTTAAATATGCATGTGTTGAGAAACATATAGTACATTTCTTTCAGTGCCTGTTTCTCGCTCTGCTATGAAGAGCTCCTTTTGACTTCAGTGGGAACTTTACTGCAAAGGGAAACATTTGTCTGGATAGTGGGGATCAAAAGAAAAAGAGGCGTGGCAAAATAAGACCTAGATTCTGGTTGACATAAAATGTCTGTAAAGTAGATTGAAATATTTGATGAATCTGAAACATGCTTAGGTTTGCTCGACCCATCAACAAAATTGAAAGCCATGACCCAAACATTAGAATGGAATGCTAAATAAGCATCAGTGCAAAGAATAAACGCTAGAGTTCAGAGGTTTGGATTGGGTGTCTTTCACAACAATTGCATTTTTCTGATTCATGACATAATGATGAATAAAGTGTAACCAAATATCAATAGTATGGAAAGTTAGCCTAACGAGTCTGGGATCATATAACAATATAAGCCTACTTTTTTCCTAATATAAAACTTGACAATATGATGGAAAGAAGTAAGTTATCACTAATCACAAGTGATCAGATATGTGAGGTAAGAGGTGAGGAGCTGACTAACGCTAAGATTATGAATGTTGGAAACTGGGAGGATGATGGATGGCTTCAACAGAAGTAGGAAAATTTGAAAGAGGGGAGTTGTTTTTTTTCCTCCTTTTTGAAAATATAATGATTTCAGTTCTGGGACATGATGAGTTTGAGATGTCTCCAGAAAATCCAGTTTGAAAAGTCCAATAGGTTTTGCAGGACCGAACCAGGACTGAAGGTACAGAAAATCTCCTGATCTATACTGCTAGAATGAGTTTCTTCAGCAGAAGTTCTTTACACTGAGGAAATCACAAGTCTTTGTAATTTTTTTCCCCATCTTTCAAAAAGAATTCAGATATTTCTTTTTGTAAACTACTACATGTCTAACAAGATAATAGTAGAGTTGTAGAAATTAAAATTTTAAGCATGAACATATAGAAGCAAAATAACAATGTCTGCTTTTAAAGAAACATTTTCAGAAATAAAAAAAAGCAAATATATATCACGTGAGCAAGCTTCTTCTAGCAAAGTCCACAAAGTTCATTAGTATCTATAAATTTAACTTTAATGGTATACTGTATAAGATGATTTATTAAAAATCCTTTGTCCTATTTTTTTCTCATAGGCTATGGCTAACAGTCTGGCATTCTAACAGTACTGCAGGTTCATAGTTCCCACTGTAGTTGAAATGGAGGGCTTTTTTGGCCAGTTGAAATAGTGTAATTTATTTCCATTGTTTCCATGGTACACTAGCTTAGTCAGCCTTGCTGAAGTAAAATAAAATAAACCTTTAATAAACTGAAAGTTGATTTTTTTCCCCTTCTGAAATTCAGTTCCATGTTCCAGGTTTCTTGAAAGAGACATATCTGATGTGAGCTAAGTAAATTTAAGGAAGGTACTATGATTTATTGCCTTTTACATTTACAATAGACCTATGGTTAATTGCTAGTGTCTGTGGCTACCCATAGGACATAGAAATATTTTTTTCCAAGATAAACTAAATGCTTCAAGTTCCTTTGGAAAGTTTTTAAGAGTGGAGCTTATTAAAGGAAATCAGCTAAGTGACTTTGAAGTGACTTTGAAATACATCATTCCCTTATCAGGGAAATTTGTTGGGAGTCAAACATTTTCCTTCACCAGCAGCAGGGACTTAACAATACATTACATAAAGAAGTTTAGGACAATCTTATTCTGGTAAATATAATGGAAATCTGTCCAAAACAGGAGCCTGCCTGAAAGGATATTTATTATAGAGTATGAGATGGGATTCAATAATATTTTCATATTGCTAATATTTAACATTTTTAAATGAAATTGGGAACTCTGTTTTTATGTCTTTAGAAGAGGATAAAATGAAGTAGAACTTTAGAGATAAAGATACTTTTCCTCTCAGGTTGACCCAGAGAAAACAATAAAGTCACTTGGGATATTTTTGAGCAATGAATACATAAAAAAAATTAGATTGTTAACAGCTGCCATGGCATTTTTCTCACAAGGAGACACATTTGTCTTTATCCCTTGCTTGGCAGCGATATCTGTGTTTGGGTTTGTTGTTGTTGTTTTTCAAATTTTTGTTTAGTTTACAGAAGTTGTAAAACTGTCCCTACTCCATTGGTCTTCTCAAAACCACACAATTACATCAAACCCACGCCATAACATAGTTTTTGAAAGAATCACCAAGCTACAAGAAATCTGTTGGCTGCTAAAACTGCACTCACTATTTGTCAACAGCTCCCATTTAAAAAATATACACTATTTATCATGGGCAAATTACTTAACCTTTCTCTGGGCCTTAGAGGATTCTTTAAGACTTAGCTACTAAGCTATAGAGGGACTATAATCTGGACCTGTGGAGGGTCTTTCTACAAAGATATATTGACATATAACCATATTTATTTGATGTAATCCTCCCACACCCATCATGTACTTTTGAAGAACATTGCATTTTGCAGTTAAAAATGGGAGGAAAAGAAGGGAGAGAAATTATGTGATAATATTTCTCCAGTATCAGTGAGTCTGGGTAGTGACGGAAGACATATTAGAAAAGCCTCAGACACTTACTAGCTGTGTGACTCTGGACAAGTCACTTAACTCCATTTGCCTTAGTTTCCTCATCTGTAAAATGAGCAGGAGAAGTAAATGGCAAACCATTCCAGTATCTTTTGCAAGAAAAACCCAAATGGGGTCACAAAAAGTTGGACATGACTGAAGGGATCAAACAACAAAAGTCCTGGTGGTCAATTTTGTTTTTTCTCAGGCTACAGTAGTAAGACGAAAGTGTAGTTTAGTAGGAAGCAAGCACTGGATTTGGACTTAAGGGACTTCAGATGTGATCCTATTTATGCCACTTAATACCTATGTGACCTGGTCCAAATCACTAAACATCTGTGGGCCTCATTTTACTTATCTGTAAAATCATGGAGTTGGACTGGATGAGCTTTAAGGTTCCTTTTCAACTCTAGATGCTACAAATCTGATAGCAGCTGTTACCCAGAGCAAACCTCCTATAGCTTTAGCAAATGCAGTGTGCAAATTGTGATGAGCAATTCAAGCAATAAAATTTTTTTTTTACTGTGAACTTAATTACCAACAAACACTGAATATGCAAAAGAGAAGAGGAAAAAGACTTGTATAAGAAATTGAAAGACTGTTAGGTAGAGTTAGGTTTTTTTAGATGTGTGTGTCCATACACGTGTGTTCATGTATTATATATGTTATCATTGTTTTTGAGTTGTTTAGTCCTGTTTGATTCTTTGTGACCCTATTTGGGTTTTCTTGGCAAAGATACTGGAGTGGTTTTTCATTTCCTTCAGATAGAGATAAATGTTTGTGTATGCATATATACTTATACATATATGTATATATGCACATATATAATGCGTGTGTATTATGTATGTGTGTATATATAAGTATATATAAAATCACTTAATTCCTCAATCTACTCACCTCCCATGAGGTATTCTTCCATTCCACTTCAGTCACACACAAAACATTAGTACCCCTGATCTTGCCATCGCCAGCTCCATGTTCAAGAATTCTGAAATCTCTTTATCCAACCATAATCTATTGGATTTTCACTTCTTCCTCTGCCTTCCCTTCATAACCCGAATCTTCATCCTTACTATGACCTCCATTCCCTTGACCTCTCACTTCTCTTCCAGGCCCTCTCTCCTTCAGCCCACTCTCTAACCACTGTCTTCTCTTCTCCCCATCTTGACTCCCAATTCAACTCCACACTGTGTGTGTGTGTGTGTGTGTGCGCGTGTGTGTGCTCTTCTCTTGAATCTCCAGCTCCCTTATCATATTGCCAATGAAGCCCAGCCAAGCTTCAGCCCAGAATTACTCCCACCATTCATCATTATGCATTCATATGTTTATTTTTATGTGTTTATTATTATATATGTTTATTTATTATGTATTTATACATATACTGCTGAATGAATGTGCAGAAAATCATGCAACCATTCTGACTGGGTCCAGTATAAATTTATGTTACACAACCTCAACTGGGCCCTCACTGCTGCTAGGCAATCCAACTATAACTCCCTTAAGAACCTACTATCCCACTTTCCACAGTGGCTCTTCCAAACCTTTTTATCCCTCCTCAAACCTCCTGTGGTCACCCTCTCCCCACCATCAGCTGAAGATCTTGCCTCATATTTTCCAGAAAAAAAATTGAGGCTATTCACCATGAACTTCCTCTTCTCCCCTCTTCCTCATTTCCTTGGTTTCTGCTACTTTCTCCTTCTTCACACATTTCACATGATGGAGTGACCTTACTCCTTACCAAAGCTAATCACTGTACTTGTTCAAGCAATCCCATTCCATCCCGTCTCTTCCAATAGACTTCCCCATCTATCATTCCCACTCTTTCACTTATTTTCAATCCCTCCCTCTAATGGCTCCTTTCCTATTGCCTTCAAACATGCTCATGTCTTCCCTATCCTTAAAAAACAACTTATTTGATCCTCCCATCCCTGCTATCATCCTGCATAGTTTCTGTCCTTTATAACTAAATTCCTTGAAAAGACTGTCAGCAATAGGTACTTCCATTTTCTTTCCTCTCATTCTTTTTTTA